GCCAGATTATACAACCGTATACTTGTACTCAGGACCAAGACATTGACGGGGTTTGGGATGGTCAAGCAACGGGCGGGCGGACAGAAATCAGATGATTGATCAATGGCTCAAAGCGAGGCAGTAGCGAGGCCCTCCTGCTGTAGTTCCTCTCTTCTTCACCTCACCTCTCTCAACTTGTAATCAACTGAGAGTTGTTTGATTACACAATAACTTTTGAGATACTGACCCTTGCAGAGTACCTTTGTTTTGTTCTTGCTTGACACCAGTCTGGAACGGACCCGTTGGGGTCCAACACTTAGGAGCGAGCCGAAGGACGCAGGCAAAGGGTTGCAGCCTGGCCCTGCCATCAGCCGTAGCGTGAGGTGAGAACTGGAACTATAAGAATACTACACACCTGGTCCTGCTGTCAGCCGTAGTGTGAGGCAAGAACCAAGAGAGTCATGATGACACAAAGGCAACTTGGACTCAACCAAACAAGCCTCCCCTTCATCTTACAACACCAGTCCCACCATAGTTCCGCTCGTGGTGAGGCGAGAGCCTTACGGGAGGCAGGGAATTTATCCACTTTGGGTTGAGTTTCAACTGTCTTGCATTTCCACTGCAAGGTTGGCCTCTCGGAGAAGTCAAGCAGTTTTGTGAGAAGCTCCGGTCACACTGGAGCGCAGTGGCCAAAAGCAGCTGGCCGATAGGCCCGATGACTCAGTCGAACTTGACACGTTCGCTTGAGTGTCGCTCAAGCGTGCAGCACCATTTTCTACCAATCAAAGCCCACAGGGTCACTTCTTATATCCTGAAAAACTATAGTTAAAGGTTTCCTAGGCCCAAGGTACACAATAGAGCAGTCTAGAAAGGTCTAGCTGTTGTCAAGCCATTTTTGGATGAACAAAGGCCTACCTGGGTTATCAGTTTGTGGAGATGAAGGCAAGGGAGAATGAGTGCGCTCTATGTAGCACTGGCTCTGGCTGATTCTGCAAGCTGGCTTGGGTGATGCATCACCAGCAGGAAAGGCTTGCGGGCACGCCAGCCGCCTCCCCTCAGCCGTCTTGCTGCGAGACGACTAAGGGGAGGTGCGCGCTGCTCTCAGCCGACTTCGGCGCCTGGGCACGATTTTCAGTTCAGGAGATCAACAGCAAGAGCTGGCTTCACTCTACAACCACTCTTGACCCCCAGAGAAGCTCTGCTGCTTTGCTCGCCTGATCATAGCCTTTCCGGAGGTCCTTGGATCGTCTCTTTGCAGGGGGGCTCAATCTTAGGCTCGTCTTTCTGTTTGTCCCCACAGGCGCGCGACTCTAGCTTCTCCTTCTTCTGCCTCGCTTGCTCGCGATGACGAGACCGCTATATTGCTCAGATCGCCGCTCAGAGCTTGCCTACGTGCTGACGCCTACGCTCCTCTTCCGCCTGTCTGCGCGTCTGACTCCGCCCGCTCGCACCTTTGTCCACCACCTCCACGTAGACCTCGACACCGCCTCCCTTGCCGCCATTGCTCAAGCACCAATGACACTCGCTTCCTTCGACAAGACAGGAGCCAGCCCCAGTCCAACCCATGCCTTGGCTTGGCTGCCTCCGCCTCGACACGCCCGTCCGCACCCGCCTCGACCTCGCTCTTGCCGCCTCTTTTGTGTGCCCCCGCCAGTCTATCAATCTCTTGTGAATTTGCGTCTGCTGTCTATTATTCGGGAGAAGCGGAGGATGCGGGGGCTTGTGCACGGGTTAGCCTGGACAAGGCAAGACGGACGCTGACTCTTCCCCTTGCTCGGGCCTTCACCACGCCTCTGTCCCTGTTGAAGAGAGCAAAGGCTGATGACGAGCTGGATACTTTGCTGCAGTCAATTCCAGCCACTTCCAGGGCGGAGAGGGATGCAGCTGGCAAGGAGGAGCTTGCTGAGCGCGGTTACTCGGCTCTGAGTAGCATGACAGGCTCTATGCAACAGAAACATGTCGCTGTCCTTCTTCTACAGGATATGCACAAGCAGGGCTCTCTAGGACAGCCCAAATGGTCTGTATTGGGAGCGTCACGGGGCGCCAACGGATCTTGATGGGGAAACGGGCAATCCCCGTTGCCGTTACGCCAAAATGGGGGGGGTTTGCCCGGCAAAACCCCCGTATAACCTGTATAACGGGACGCCCGTTGCCGGGACGCCCGTTGATGGGTTTGACATCCCTACGTAGTGCGCCCCAGAAGCCAGCTGACCTGCCTTCACCATTTGTTACACTGGCCAGCGTTGTTTTTTGTATCAGATTTTCTTCTTACTGGCAAGGTTCATTAACCAGATCTACAAATTGTCGAGTGTTCCGATGGCTGAGTTGTCTCCTGTGGAGACGACTGAGGGGAGGCCTCGTCAGTCTCAGCCAACTTGATAGTGCAGCTCACAGACCTGGATCAGGAGGAGACAAAGTTCACCCTGCAGCGTGAAGATTCAGAAGACAGGCCTTTGCACTCTTTCACATTGTCTAGAGTCTTTCTTCAGGGCTAATGGAAACCATCTCTGCAAATTGCCAGACTCGACGAAGGCTTTTTCCTGCTTGTGGCGGGGAGTCCAAAGGTGTCAAGCGGACTGTGTGACAAACCGACAATGCAACAGCACCTCCCTTGTACCTGTACTGGATCAAATGGAGTTGTGAGCTGGCAATGTGACTGAGGAGTTTGGGGAGTCCTTGTGACTCATCACGAAATCACGCTCACACACTGTCAACACTCTTGCTGGTCACAACCCTCGCTGAGCAGACACTGTACACTCTCTAAGGGTTCTTGCCTTACACAATCTTGCCCTTGCCCTTGCCAGCTGCCGCTTGGCAAGCGTGAGGCACAGCCACGCCCCTCCCAACACTGTCGTCAATCGAGGTCCCCTCCTTGCCTTTCTTGGCTCTCAATCTGACCTGGGTGAGAACCACTCCCGGGACCGTGCGATGCGGCTGCACGAGCTTGACAGCACTCAAACACGTGGTGAGCTTTGCCGTGCATGTTGCCTCAGGGACTGGTACAGAGGACTGGCAGAGAGATGGGGGGGGGGGGGGGGCAGGTCACTGACTCACTGAGCACACCGTTACGTGTGGAGAAGCAGACAGTGTGGTGAAGAAGCCGCGCAGGAGGACTGTTCGCACTCGGCCTGCTGACATGATCCGGGCAGTGAGTTGGTGGTATTGAACGGTGCTCGGATTGATCGCGGCGGGAAATGAGACGGCGCTGATCTGATCTTGTTGCCGCCTGCAGGCCATCGTCAAAGCGATCCCGACCTTGAAAGATTTTGAGCCGGTAGAATTTGAGTCGGTTGAGAGGAGTGTGGACGATGCGAAGCGAGTTGAAACGGAAAACAAGGGTGAGGCTGTCGACAACCAGCCGGGCATTGTTGTTCCGGGCACGTTGGGCGGGATTGAGCGGATGACCTCCCACATTTGCGGCATCTGGAGTCACTACCGTGCCAATCCCGACCGCGAGCAGCGCAAGCCGGCGTACCAAGAGGCCATGCTCGACTCACTTGACTCCCTCGCGTCCACGACCTTGGGTTCCCTCCTTCCCTACGCCGCCAGCCTCGTTGACTCACACGTGTACAAGTCTGCCTTGCCGGATTCGACAACATGATTCATTGCAGACGCTCTCCGAATCGCGCAGGAGTTGTCGTCCACTGAGACTGCGCCGCTTGGCAAACCGGGAGGTGGGCAGTCATCGCTGCTCCTCCGTGGCGGGGTCAGTGCCTTGCCCGCTCCCAAGGACGGCCAGAAGACCCCTGTGAGGCCGTACATGGTCTTCTTGGCAATTGTCACCCTCGGTGTGCAGCTTGCGCCGCTGCTTCACTCCCGGATCGGTTCCCCAAAGCAAGGCAAGGTCGATCAGGTGTTTGCATTTCCGCTTTTGCTCCTCTGGACGGCGTCGTCAAGGCAAAGGGGAAGCTCGCACTGGCCGAGGCGACGTGGATGTGGGCCCTCGATGTCTTTGCCGTCCTCTCGGTGATAGAGGCGGCACACCGCGCGTTCTATTCGACCGCCATCTTTTCAACTCCGGCCGGCGCGACGCTGCTCCTCCAACCTCGTCGTGTCCCGGGTAACGCCAAGAAACTGGACCCGATTGCGGACAACATCGAGCAGGCGTGGTACCAGTTCTTTCGCGAGCAGCGTGCGGCGGCGGTCGTGGCATCAATTAGCTCCGGTTCGCAGTCTGACAACAATGACGACGACGACGACAGCGACAACGGCGGCGACACTGACAATGATCGTATGGACCGAGACCACGGTGACGATGACGCCTTTATGCCAGATGACAATGACATCAACACCTCTATGCCAGACAAACATCCCAGCAGAAGGTAGTGCACCAACTACTCAAGCTACGGGCCAGTTTCTGCAACTGTTCTATGTTCATTCATTCCATACTCTTGTTTCCGGGCCAGGTTTTCCCTATGAGGTTTTCCTCCCACATGTATACTCCCCTTCCCTTGCTTCTGTTACCAGACGGTCAACTATACTGCACTGGTTACAGAGTGCCCGCTGCCACCTCAAGATGTTGTCGCCCAAATCAGGACTCCAGGAGGATGTGGTTGGATCTTTGCTGGGACTTGGCAAGTTGGTCACGACTCACAGCTTCTCTCTCTCTTTAGCACTGCCCTCCCTCTGGCTCATATCACACTAAAGGAGGCGCGGTGTGTACTACAAAAGGAGCTTGATGGACAGCAGTAACGGTGCTGGTGGATAGAATGAGAGCTGCAAGGAGGAAATCCGAAGGAGCTGGGTCAGGACTCAGCACGTTGGAATTCATGACACTGAGCTTGAGGGGCTGCAGATTACCCGCAGCTGTGTTCCACGATCCATGCCCCGTGCCAGGTTGCCAATGATAACAATGCTCTCAATATCCCACTGACAACCAGTCTGCTGTACAGCCGGCAACATTCACTTGACCCCCAACCCTTGCAACGCCCCACCATCTATCACAACCTCAAACGGATGGAAAGAGTCTGGAAGGGACCAATGCGCGGGAGGAAAGGGTGCGGCAGCAAAAAGAACACTAACGGTCAAGACAGGATTCGAACCTGCGCGGGCACAGCCCAGCAGATGGATTGTTATTTATTCAAGTCTGCCGCCTTAAGACCACTCGGCCACTTGACCATTTTAAGACTGTTATTAAGTCTTATTGCGTTGATTATCCTGTCTTGGCAAGCTGGACGGTCAGGCGATGAGCAGACTTTCTGTCTTGGGCACGACTTTCAGAGCGAGAACGGTCCATCAGTCCTCGGCCGCTACACAGGACGCAGGTGCTGCTCAAACCATGTCAGAGACACCTCGGCAAAACGCTCAGGCCAGTCGACACACCCGCCGGCAGTCGCCATACACTCGCGTGCCTGCGCAAGAGTCGGCTGCTCCTTCAACACCGGTGCGTCGCCGTCCCGCCGTGGCGATCGGTACTCTCGCTGACCCGCAGCTGTGGCCTGTACAGTCACGCCTACGTAGCTTGCTCTCATACGTCTCTCCCTTTCGCTCGGGGCGGAAGGCGAAAGTGGAGGCAGCACCGACGAACGACTCGGAAGAACAGCAGCTAGAGCAAGCCGCGACTACCTCGAGCGCCGACACCGAGAGCGGAGACAACGGCTACAGCGCACAGTCGGAATCAGCATCATCCGCCCGTGCGACTGACGAGTTCGACGCACCCCACGCGGGCCTTTTGACTTCGACTGGCTTGGGTAAGGATGCCTTTCTCGCACTGCACCGAGATCAGTCCACCCCTGATCGATCTTTACCGGCGTGATATAGACGCGCCTACTGCATTCACGCCCCACTTTCGACTCGACACTCCGGCGCTCGCAACGGTTAACAACCCGCCCGCGTTTGGGACGACCTCGGAAGCCCCGTCCAACACGCCTGCATTCCGACGCAAGCGTCCTCTCTATGTAGGAGCTGGCTACACAGGTCGACGCAAGCGCGTCGTCAAGCCAGCGCCAGCAGAGATTGCCGCCGGACCCGATGCGGCAGTCTCGGGCAAGCGTCGCCGGCTGGTGACTGCCGACGACGACGTTTCGCCATCAATCCGTTCCACGGGCGGGTTAGGGCACACCTCCGAAATGTTTGGATCCGTCTCGCCGAGTCGGCCTCTCTCTCTCGATGCCGCGGCCAACGCGCGCAGCTCGACCACCGATTGTGCGTGTCTCGGTCCGTTCACGTCTTCCCGAGACTCACATCCTAATGCATGCCTCGGTGCTCAGCCGCTCAAGTCGTCTCGGCCCCGAAGCGCACCGCAACGCGCGCAGCGGATCTCGTCATGGACATCCTGCGCAGCGAAGTGCCGCAGGAACCCGCGTTGGCGAACATTTCTCGGCGCGAGCAGGACGTCACGCGCATTTTGAACCCCTACGACACAGAAGAAAACCTCCTGTCAACAACAGTGTCCTCGTCGCGCACAGCAATACCGCCTGCTATCCCGGTGAGCGTTCTTTGCGAGTCATGCGCTCGTTCGGGTCGACTGACGCGTCGGGCTCAATTGGTGCACACTCATCGACAGAAGAAGAAAGGAGGAAGTGTGTCGCCGTCTTCGAACCGCGCCTCAGGTGCAGAGTCATTCACAGAAACGAAGGAGACGTCGCCTACCGAGTTGCTTCAGCGGACAATGCCAGCAGTAAGCCCTGAGAAAGTCTAGCATTCCCACTCGACCAGCGCATAGGATATCTGACGCTGTGCTCTTACCAGGCTTATCGCCGCGAGACGCTTCAGCACCAGCGCCCGCAGCACTCGAGCCCGCAGGTGTCCCAGCAGTCGAATCTTGCAAGCGCTAAGCAGCAAAGTGACCTCGCCACAAAGACCAAACGCCAGGTGGCTGTCCTCGAGATCCTGTCCTCTGAGGACGAGGAGGAAGAAGAAGTCGACGACGCCAAGTCGGCATCCGAGGGGAGCCGCGAGGAGAACGAGGCCGAGACCATGTCGCTGAGCGCCGAGGAGTCCGACCGAGCAGACGAGTCGGGCGACGATGTCGCGAGCGACGAAGAGCTCGACAGTGGCGGCAGTGACGACGCAGGAGTCATGGTGATCGACAGCGCCGACGAAGAGGCCTCGTCGGGATTTGGACCGTTCAGCCCCGGCCCCGAGCTCGATCACAGCACTGTCCAGGCTCGAGCTCCCGGTGCCATGGCCGCTGCACCAGTCGTCCCATCGACGTCCGGCAACCCGTTTGCGCGCCAAGTTCCGGTTCAAGCCAGCGTGCCAAAGTCGACGAGCCCCATCTTCTCGTTCGGTCCAAAGGCCGGCAATGGCGACACAGCAGAGGGCCTCGTCGAGAGTACGCTCTCCGCCAAGCCGGACACTTCCGCTGTCCGCGACGACGCTGCGGCAGCGACCGACCGGTGGCGCCGTGCGGCTTTGGATCTTCCTCGCGCGTCGCTGCCGATACAGAGTTTCCGCTTCGCCCAGGTCATGGCGGAGATCTCCCATGCGACAATCTCGGTAGAACCTACCTTGAGCGGGCTCGCCGAGCTGGCGAAGAACGTCAGTCGTGGTGAACTCCCGACGTTTTCGTTTTGACGAAGCAACGGAATTCAGAATCTTTGCAGTCTCTCGGCTCATAGAAGGGAGTCAATTCGAGAGCGCCATATCCGAGTTCTGTAGCTCATGAGTCGCCTATTGACGAGAGAATTCTGTATGGTCGCCGAGCATTGGCCGAGCAGGCGACCGCCACGTCACCTCTCGCAGTCCTGCACGTCACGTGATAAGATCATCGTGCGCGTCATCGTAGCGCAGCGTGCGTCTTTCCTACTGGCAAAACTGCAGACCTGGCGCATGCAAGGTCACCCGGGTAACGAGATCGATCGGCAAGACAGCCATGCGGGATGTCCCTGACATGCTGCGACTCCCAACATCCTCTCTCGGGGCGGTTCTCGTCTCTGCCCTGCTCGTCGCCGTGGTCGCTCGCCTCTTCATCTACGAGCGAAACAACCGCCGGACCGGCACCAATGCAGGAAGGGCACCGGCGCGACAGGCCGATCACCACCCAGACGCTGGTGCAAGACCGTGCACTACGGCAGGACCAGTCCTCGCCGCAAGAGTCGCCAACCTCGACCTTTCCGGCCTCACGGTCATCCCGATAACCCGCCTCCCGCGACTATACAAACGACTCCGTATACCCCTCCTCGATCGCACTGTCGTCTTGTACGCCGACCTGACAGCGTCCGAGCTGGTCTTTCGTCGCCTCCAGGTCGGGAGCGCCACCGCGACCTCGCGTGACACCGGCAGGGAATCTATCGAGGTGACAGCGGATCGGGTGGAGCTGGACCTTACCGGCAGCATCGGTCTCCGGGCTGGTTACCACTTTGAAGGGGAGGGCGAACCTCGAGGTCGGGCCGTGCGTGCGTCCGGCCGGGTCCACGTCACGCTCGCGGACGCCAGCTCCCGCATAGGAACGCGGCTCGTCTCGCGACCGGCAGCAGAAGTTTCCCCTGGGCAGACGTTCCGGCCCGGCCTCCGGTGCCAGCGCGTCGACTTCCACCCCGGCACCATCTCCGTCCTGTCCCTCTCCGGCTTCGTACCGTTTCTGCGCCTGGAGGCGCTGGCGCACTATTTACGGAACTCGTCGCTGGTTCGCATCTCGACTCGCCGCTTCGCAGGTTTCCTTGTGCACGAACTTGTGCAAGGACCGGTCTGCTCTGACCTCTTGAGCGACCTCGAGGGTTTCATCGACAAGCATGTCGACCTCGCCCCGTTCGCGAGGATCAACGATTCGGACAGGGATCGAGCTCTCGCGCGCTTTTCCCGCGACTCCCTCCACCCTCATCACCAGAATCGAGACGATACGACCACGGCCGCCTTCACGACGACCACCGCCCCTGCCTCGATGACTGCGCTTCGGCTTCATGCGCTCGTCCTCGGCCCGATCCACCTTCACTCGCTGTACTTGCCGTCATCTGCATCGGCGGCCGAGAACGGAGACGCGGTGGCGGTGCCCGTGTTTGCGCGACGCGACCAGACCGGCCTGCGGTACTCGATCTTGTCTTCGCCCATCTTGAACCAGCTCACGCGCGGACCGCCGGACGTAACCTTTGGACCGTCGAGATTCGACAGAATCGAGTTGCAAGAAGTCAGCGTCGAGCTGGAACCTCACGCTCTGGATGTGCTCGAGGGCGAATCGAGCGGCAGCAAGTCGCCCGAGCCGGAGAGCAAGACGGCCCGCGAGCTCGTTCTCCGCGTCCATGGCCTGGCAGCGACACTCTCGATCGGTTTCCGCATCGGAGCCGATCTCAGAGCAGCTCCGGCACTCGTGACCGGCATGAAAGTTCTCGAAGAGAAAGGCGTCGCCACCACCGAGATCGCCGAACGGTCAGCCTCCGGCGGGTTGCAGAGCTCACACAGCCACGAAGACTCCTTTGCCGGTACAGAAGCCATGGGCAGATTCCAGACGGACAGTCTCGAGGACGACTTGGACGGAATCGCGATCCGCCTGCCCTTGCGATGGGATCGCGCGAGCGGGCGCGTGCTCTTGACATCGCGTCACGACGACGAAGACGAGCTCGCCGCCGCGTCCGCCTTGACAGAGTCGGGGTCAACATCAAGCTCTCGACGTAAAAGAAGAGGTCGTGAAAGCGGCACAGGAAGAGGGATCCGGTTGGAGGGCGCGTTTGGCACGGTCGCGCCGCGGATCAAGCTCGAGAGTCGACTCGGAAAACTTCTCGGGGAACGCGTGGTCAATGCTCTACTCGAGAGCGTGCAGGTATGTCGCGGAAACCGTTACTGTTCTGCTCGAGGGACAAATTCTCAAACTGATGCCGCTTTTTCCCGCTCTCAGACCCACCTAGCCGCCTTGACGGTCCCGCTCGCTTCGCACTTCCTCGCAGATCTGGCACGGCAGAGGCTGCAGCGCACACTCGACAACGTGAACGAGCGCATGGCGACCGAAGGAGGGGTTCTCTGGACCTCTCTGGATATGGAGAAGCCGAAGCAATAGCCCTGCTCTCCTTGCCAATGTATTGATATTACTCTATTGATGTCTAGATGCATGTTGCGGAAATTATGTGGGGAGTATAGGATATCTGGGAAGAGTATGGGGAAGCCCGCCTCAAGCGAGCTGACCAGGCCAAGTCGCCTTGGTGTCCATGCCGCGCTCTACGGGCCCGAGCACGATTCCGTCGCCC